GTATGGGTCTTCTAACATTGTTTATGGTAATAACCTTTTGATTCAGATATTTGCCTTTCTCTTATGCTCCAGCCACCTATGATAATAAGCACAGTTGTAGGCTGATTTATTTTCCTTAGATGACATCCTATAAAAAGATAGCTACTCAGGGATCCAACCAAAAGAGCAACCATCATTGGCAATAATAACAGTTTAACAATATTTTTATTCCAAAATGCTCAATAGCCAGGTAAAATTATAATATTTGAGTTCACTACTCCTCTTACAATGCTAATGTTATTGATCTTCTCTTCTGGGTGTTCAGCAACCAAAGTTTAGAGATCAAAACTAGGGAGGTATCTGGGCTGGGAGGGCAGCCAATATTTTGGCCCTGGCCCTCCAAGGTCAACTACAACAAAAAGATCCAGGTTATGAGGGAATCATCTCCAAGATCCTGCATCTTTGAATGCTGACTCACCCATTTGGCGGGCCTTCCCCCTTACTACCCTCCCAGAACATTGCCTCCCCCGCCGTATGAAGACTTCACCTTTGAAGAACAAATGCCTCGTCCTCCCTGTAATTCCTCCTCGCCTCCTTTTCAAGATTTATTAGTGGCCCACATCATTCCTCCTTTCCAAAGGCTGCAGCTTCAGGGATGAGTACCAAGAAATAGCCATCAGGCCAGATCTACTTGGACCGTTCCTCCTCCGACCTGGGGCTAGCTTAAGAGCTTGACCGAAAAGGCGAGAGCAGTGATCATTGAATGAGAGGCTTCACCTATTGCTGAAAATCTCTTTGTAACTATGCTTGCTATAATTGCTGCCCAAGTATTATTTATGCCTCTTTTGTGTAAAGCTGAGGATTCTATGTATTGGACTTATATGCCTGATCCCCCCGTGTTATATCCTGCCACCTGGGACCACGATGTCCTCAAGGTAGTCACCAATCATTCTAAGTTACTGGGGGGGTGAGGAAAATAACTTTTTGTTACATAAGCTTTCTTATAATATTTCCTATCATGGTCATAGCGACAGCCTGCCATTTGTGTTACGCGATTACCCTACAATGACAGTCATATGACATGGGAACAGGTACAGGCCCATTTAAAAGGAGTATGGAAAAGTACTCCCCTGTCCATAGATTTACAACATTTACATTCACAAGTTAGTGCTATTAGTCAGGCACAACTGCAAACTTCTTCAGCAGAAGTAATAGCTAGTTCCTTCCTGTCTTCTCTCTCC